CTACCATGCTTCTCTGAGCAACAATTGCATATTTGTATAAAACCAATCCTTTGATTTTCACTAGAGATTATACTTCAAATATATGAAATACATTTAAACAAGCTTTAAAAATCTATTTTACAATAAACAGTCTCCACCTATGCTATCAGTGCACAGTCTCTCCCCATTGTCTATAGTTGGATGTGGAATCAAAAAACTGATATTCCTTTTCTGGGTGTTTAGATGCAATTCCTGACGGAGTTTGAACTGGAACATGATCTGCAGGGTAGTGTCTAAAGTTGCCAGGTTAAAAGCCCTCCAAAAGTAGTTTTAAGAGGAAATTATATTGGTTTTAGTTTAATTATTTATTTCCATTATTTGTATACCGGCACAATGCACATCTCTAGGCAGTTTACAAACCTGGGTCATAAAACAATAAAAACCATGAAAGGATTGAAACCTTTGCATGGGACTGAAGCATCATTGGTCATGCTGAATGATTACCTTTGTTGAGATCTACATGGGAGCAATGCATATTTTCTGGCTGTATTAGACCTCTTTATGCCTTTTTATTCCACTATGTGCAAAAAGTCAGGACCGATACTACATTATCCTTCTGGACAACTTCTACAGGAGTTCCATTCCTTCCTTAGTTAACAGTTCCACTGGGAAAGGACAAATTTCCTAGTAGCCATTCTAATCTGGGGCTGCAAAGTTCCTTCCTCTCCCCTCGGCTTTTCAACATCTATTCAGAGGTCTTCAAACTTGATAGCTTTAAGACTTGTGGACTTCAACTCCCAGAATTCTTCCTCCAGTCATGTTAGCTCAGGACTTCTGGGAGTTGAAGTCCACAAGTCTTAAACTTGCCAAGTTTGAAGACTCTTGATCTATATGAAGCCACCAGTGCATGTCATCCATTGATTTAATGCCCAGTTTAAGAAATATATGAACAGTATCCAACTTTGTGTTGTTACTCCAGCCCAAGCCAGGGATGTTGTCACCATCTGGCCCTGATTTCTGGAGGCTCTTAGATCTCTTGGTTTTTTCGAACAGAAACTGAATCCAAGGAAGGAGTTGATATTTGTTTCTCATGGTCAGCCCCAGTAGTGTTTCCCATGAAGGAAGGACCTTCGCTAAAGAAGCATGTCCTTGCTGCTGTGCTCAAGTATCATCCTGGAATCATAGCTACCCATAGCTATAGCTGATCAATCCTTTGCACGCTCTAGCCATCATGCCAGTTACAGCCCTAGCTAGAACAGGAGGATCTCCTGGGATTCCCACCCTCAGCCCTACTTATTTGGACACACATTATTCCATGTGCATCCAACATAGGGCCATCTTCAAAGACTACTTGGAACCTACAGTGGGTGGAAAGTGCAACAGTTTGAACATCATCTGGCATTTATTGCCATGACTGTGTTACATCTGTGCATCTTGTATTCAGCTGCCTATGGAATTCTGAAAGTAATTCAAAGTGATGGTTTGGGATTAGCAAGTCCTGTATAGCTTAGGTATTTCCTCTTTTCTAACCAGAGTCAACTCACCCAATAAGACCATTGCAGAAGAAACTGCTGGTGTTCTCCCATTTATACAAGAAAGCAAAACAGATTGAAACTGGAATGAATAGAGAATTGCAGGCACTACTTCTCACTGGTAGTGCCTGATTAAGAGCAGACACTACATTTGACCTCAGCCAAAAGATCAAGAACTCTTATTATTACTTGTATTTTATCTCACAGTTGGATATTTATTTATTTTATTTATTTTATTTATTTATTTGATTTGCCAATTGTTTACAAGATAATAAGTATAAGTGTATGCATAGTTGTGAATACATGAAATGGGTACATATAAGAAAAATAAAAGAAGAATAAGAGAAACAATAGGACAGGGACGGTAGGCACGTTGGTGCGCTTATGCACATTTTTTGTGCATTTTAACTTTGACCTGATGGGCAAATGAATTCCATCGTATTTGTTGTTATTGCTTTTATAGTCTTATTTGTACTGGTCCAGGACTATAATAAAGATTTGTTCTTGTACCAATGTTTGTGGTAGTGCCAGGTTTGTGGAATAATCTCTAATTTGGGATTCAGTTAATCCCCACTTTGGTTCAGTAACTGGAAAGAGGTTTAAAACAAACTTTTCCTTTGGGCATTTGGACTCATTTGATTAAGTTATTTATTATCAGGGTTCAAATTAATATGGTGTTTTATTGTGGAGGTTTTAATTTATATTGACTATAATTCTGGTGGTATATACACCAAATAGCATTCAGTATAAATTGATTTGATTTAATTTAAATGGCATTACTAGTGGTATAGTTACCTTTCATGTACATTATATTTCCCCCTTTCTACCATGTATATTAAACCAAAAATCATTGTTTTCTCGGAATTTTTGGAGGAGCTCTAAGGGGTTACATCTAACCCTAGGTCCTTAGGTTGTATTCTTTTGTTTCACACATCAAAAAGTTTTCCCTTTAGGATTCAAACCTTTTGTTTTCTTGGAAATTGCGGTGGAAACATTTGGTTAAGTGAAAGATAGAAGCAGAACAGTAGAATAAACATTATTACTCAAAAGCTCTTTAGATAAATTCAGAAGTTTCCTCTTTGGTGAATGTATATTTTCTACTCCAAAGTGCTTCCCATCAAGCATTAGTAAAATCCAGGATATTAAACATTTCTGAAATAGATTTTAAAGAATCACCTTTATGTATTTAATCACAATCACTGTTCTCTTCAAAAAGTGAGAGGAATCCAATTGCGTGCAATAATAGGCCTTGACCAGGTCATAGGCCTGAACAGTAGGCCATAACTGAGGCACCACAACTACCAGAAAAATGACTTTCTGGAAGAAAAAGTAATAGCAATACACTTTGTAAGTGGATGTCCTACAGAAAGAGAAATGTGGTTACTAAATTGTGTGTATGCTTGCATCCTTTATACCATAATGAAATTACAAGCCACAGTTGAGCAGTCACAGAAAAGAAACTTATCCTTCATTCCAGAGTGTCAGCCACACAAATGTCCACATGAACTAAAGTTCCTCCTTTGCAGATAGCTCAAGGGGAAAAGGATTCCATCCTTTGTATTAGCTGAGTTGAAATCATGAATGCATTCAAGAACCAAAAAAAAAACCACACAACTATCTAACAGAACAATACAGAAGGGCCAGGAGTTGCATTGAGTGTTCCCAAGCAGCAAGTGTACCTGTTGATTCAAAAGCAATATGTTTGGGAGCCGCTTTAATTTAGTCCAAAGTTAAGAAATATAACTGTTTTTGCTTCCATTCTATATGCCTTAAACAAGTGTGACAGAAAGGCAGCTATTATTCATCTATAAATGGTCCTGAAATCTTAACTCCCAGCATCCTTTTACTCCCTTTAATTCCACTGTTCAATCTTGGCTCTTTCTAATGTTCTCTTTCTTTCCAAGTTCTCTCTCTACTCCCTCACAATGATCTATATTTCAGATCAATCAGTGCATAACAGTTCCAGCGAAATAAAATGAACACACCTGACAATGTCTCATAATTCATCAAAGAGGCACAATCTGAACCCCCACAGATGCTTTATGGCCCTGGAAAACCCTGGATACAGCCTCCAGAATACAAATAGATATCCAAATTTGAATTCAATACAGATAAAGCAAGAGGAACATTTAAATAGTTTCAGCCCATTGTTGTGCTTTGTGTTTGTCCTGATTTAGGGTAGGTATAACCCTGGATACAGCCTCCAGAATTATAATTGGATAACAAAGTTGTTATCCAATTATAATTGTTAATATGACAGAATGAAAAGTTATTAAATTCAAGACTGAAGAACAATAATCACATTAGCTATATTTGATTGTAAATCACTTTAAATATAACTGAGCTCAAATGTCATTTTTGTCTCAATTCCAGCATTGCTTTGAACGTGGCTGCTGGCATACTACCCAAAGATCAAATGTGATATCTAACCCACTTTGCAATACATCTATTGAGAAACTGGGTTTCACTGGAGGTTTTCAAGAAGAGACTAGACAGTCACTTATCTGAAATAGTATAGGTTCTCCTCTTGAGCAGGAGGCTGGACTAGAAGACCTCCAAGGTCCCTTCCAGTTCTATTCTATTCTATTCTATTATCTCAAATGCAATTGTTGGAAATTAAAATTTTAGAAACGGGGAATGAGCATAGCTGAACTTTAAAAATATACCTACCCTGAATCAGGACAAACACAAAGCACAACAATGGGCTGAACCTATTTAAATGTTCCTCTTGCTTTATCTGTATTGAATTCAAATTTTGATATCTATATTCTTTGTGGTTTAGTTGTTACACACATTCAATGCTGGAATTCAGCATTCTACTTTCATGGATAAAATGCCTTCTATCAGTGGACCTAAAGCAGAAATGCTCACTTAGTTCTATAGGTCTTCAAGAACCATTACATTTAGATAATAAAATACAATAATAGAATATCTAGAATTTTAGAAAATAATGAATATATAAAGATGTATTTCTTTTTTTGTTATCATATCTATAGAATGTTTTTAGGATAGATTTGGGAGGATTATATGAATTGTTATAAAATAAACTAAGTAAATTATAGTCATCTCGCAAAGTATGAATGAATAAAATTATAGTCAAATGATTGTTTAATAGTGATACTAGGGTAATCAATTTTTGATTGATAATATGAATTATTATGCAATGTAACTGTAATTGAGACTATGAAATGGATGCACAAAAAATTTGTAAACCAACCGACACACTGCTTGTACATTTATGAAAGAAAGTTGGATGTTTTTATGTTTTGTTTGTTTTTGTTTGTCTTTAAAAACCAATAAAACTTGTTTTTTTTTTTTTCAAAAAAAAGAACCATTACATTTTGAAGATGATGGGTTAGGGAAACTATACTAGATTTGGCATGCAGATAACAGATGTTGCAGGAATAAATGTGAAGTGACTTCCTCTGAGATTTCTAGGAATTAAACCTGATTCTGCAGCTTTCCTTCCTTGTGCCATTTCACATTTATTCATGCAATGTCTGCTATCTGCCTTTTAAATAAAATATGCATCTAAGTCACTGCACTTTTCTACCAGCTTTCATTCATTTGAAAGATTTGCTTTCATTTTTTTTCAATGAAATTCTTAATGGAAGAGTGTGAGTCTATGATTTCTTTCAAGTGTTACTAGATGGCAAACAAATGGCAACTTCAAATCTCAACAAATAAATGCTCTGTCTTACATATTGGCAAAAAAAATCAGAAAATAAAATATAAGCTGAATAGTCAAGACCTTGTTGATGATCTAAACTCTGTCAAGGACCTTGGAGTACTCATCTCTAATGATCTAAGTGCTAGAGCCAACTGTAACTAAATAGCCAAAAAGGCATTAAGAGTTGCTAACCTACATAGCTTTTTCTCTAGTAATATCACACTATTAACTAGAGCATACAAAACATTTGCTAGACCAATACTTGAATACAGCTCATCAGTCTGAAACCCGTATTATGTATCTGATATTAATACAGTTGAGAAAGTCCAGAAATATTTCACAAGAGTTCTCCACTCCTCTACTCGTTGCAGAATATCTTATGCCACCAGACTTGAAATTCTAGATCTAGAAAACCTAGAACTATGCCACATTCAGTCCGATCTAAGTATAGTATATAAAATCATACATTGCAACGTCCTACCAGTCAATGAATACTTCAGCTTCAACCATAACAATACAAGAGCACACAATAGATACAAACTCAAGGTAAACCGCACCAAAATTGATTGCAGGAAATACGACTTCAGCAACAGAGTGGTCAATGTCTGGAATACTCTACCTGACTCTGTGGTTTCTTCCCCAAACGCCAAAAACTTTAACCTTAGACTGTCTACTATTGACCTCACCCCTTTCCTAAGAGGTCTGTAGGGGGCATGCATAAGTGCACCAACGTGCCTACCGTCCCTGTCCTATTGTTTCTTTTTATTTTTCTTACATGTATCCATTTCACGTGTGTATTATAAGAGTATTAATACTATCATCTGTGAAAAGTTGGAGACCAAGCTGTAGATAACCATTACATATGGATTGAAGGGATGAAACTCTCCCTGGATTTAGAAGAATGTTCATGGCTAAGATTCTCCTATGTGCAAGATGCCATTCCTACAATCCAACACAGTATGTCCTCTCAGAACAGCACTAATGTCAGTTAGATGTGAAAGTGAGCTTACAAAATATAATACTAAACAATTAAAAATATAAGCAACATGAAACAAAGCAATCTGGACTAAAAACAACCATCAAAACAAAGTATACATCATGGAATTTCCAAGTCACATGATGTATTTGGCACAAAGTACACAAGAACACTCCTGCCAACATTGACATGGCAAGCCACTAGTATATTAAAAAGAGCATAAGCACCCCCTTCTCACACTGATGATGTTACCCAGGTTTGGTAATGAAGCATCTGCAAGAAAACAACCAAATTCAGAGAGCATCAAGGACCCCATAAAGTACAAAATTTGCACATTGTTTTCATGATGTCAGTGAGGCTTTCAACTGTAGATCTCTATACATCTCAAGACAGATTGAAATGTCAATCACAATTCAGATCATAAATTGTTGGTGGCTAAGATCAGAGCCAAATTATGCAGCATCAAAAAGGCAACACTGACAAAGAAGTTTGACATCACCCAAAACCCTTCCACGTATGCAGTTAAGGTGAAAAATAAGCTTGAACTGCTGGACACTGCTGCGAAGATTTCCAGTGAACTGTGGCAAGAAATTCAACTGACCATCATTGAAATAGCAGTCAAACATATACCATACAAGAAGCCAGAGAAAAAATGCAAGTGACTCTCAGATGAAACCACCAGAACAGCCAAATGAAGAAAAAGAGCCAAAGCAGTGGTAAGTGAGAGGAACCAAGAACTTTCAAAGAGCAACAATGAAAGACAATTTACTGGAACTAGCATTACAAGCAGCCAGAAGAGGACTGCATGAAAGGCCACACCAGGAATGTATTTGTGCAAGTCAAAATGATTTGAATACTTGAATACTTATTGCTCATGAAAGCATAATTAAATAAGCAAGGGAAAGAAGTGTCTGACCAACAAGGTATCAAGAACAGATGGCAAGAATTTACATAATGACTGTTTTGCCCATAATAAAGAGGTCCAGCCTCCCAAGGATGATCTGGAAAGGGAAAGAGAAATAGAACCAGTCATCCTTCAGGAAGAAGTCATGTGGGTAATGAGCCAACTGCCAAACAATGCCCCAAGTGCTAATACCATCCCTACAGAGTTGCTAAGGACTATAGTGTACCACACACAACCATCACAGTCTTTTGCCAGAAAGTTTGGGGAACAAACACATGGCCCCGAGATTGTAAATGGTGAGGGTTCGTTCCATTGTCAAAAAAGGATTGCTCCAATTACCACAGAATTGCCCTGAATCCTCATACTAGCAAGATTTTCCTTAAGATCATACAACACCTGGTGCTGACCATCAAAAGGGAGTTACCAGATGTTCAAGTTGGCTTCTGAAGGGATCGTAGTAATCACAACCACATAGCAGATCAATGCTGGATCGTGGAAAGGTCCCAAGAATATCAAAAGAATGTCTACATCTGCTTATTGACTACAATAAAGCCTTCAATTGTGTTGATAATTGTGGAGATCCCACAAAGATCTGTACCAACTTAACATATGGTCTTGTTGGTGCAGTCACTATATACAAATCAGGAAGCCACTATACAAACACCACATAGAAAAAGGAGTGTGACAAGATTGCATTATTTCACTTTTCTTATTCAATCTGTATGCCAAAGTGATCATGAGAAAACTGGAATTTGAAGAATCAAAAATTGGAGTAAAGTTTGGAGAAAGGAACATTAATAATCTTTGATAAGCTGATCATACAATTCTCCTCTCAGAAACCAAAGAAAGCCTGAAACATTTGATCAAAAGGATTAAAGCGAGAAACTCTTCCTCAACATCAAAAAGACCAAGCTCATGACCACTGCGAGGAATGAAACTTTCATCATCATCACCATCACCACCACCATCATCACCATCATCATCCAATTGCAGAAGGCAACTTTACTTGGAATAGCTTCCATCCTATGACGATATCTGTAACACTATCAAACATCCAGCTTTGCCTATTCAAGGTCCTTGGTAAGGACTTGATAGGTAGACAAAAATGCCAAACCCAATCTGAACATCTGGCTGACTGTGAATAATAATAATAACAACAACAACAACAACAACAACAACAACAACAACAACAACTATGGGACTTCTGAATACAGACTGACAAAGTTTTGGAACACAATACCCTGGATATCATGATTGTGGAGAACAAAAAAATGTGGATCATCGACATTGCCATACCTGGTGACAGCAGAATCGATGAGAAACAACCTGAAAAAATCACCAGATATCAGGACTTGAGAATCGAACTGCAGAGACTCTGGCATAAACCAGTGCAGGTGGTTCCAGTGGTACTCGGCATACTCGGTGCTGTGCCTAAAGACCTAGGCAAGCACTTAAGAACAATTGGTGCTGACAAAATCACCATTGGTCAGCTGCAGAAGGCCACCTTACTGGGATCTGCTTGCATAATACATCACACAGTCCTAAACGCTTGGGAAGTGTTCGACTAGGGATTTGTGATACAAAACCCAGCATAGTTATGTCGTTTGCTGTGTACACTGTCATTTTTTGTGTATAATAACAATAGTAACAGTGAACTTCCGGTTTGTCGGCTTCGCGAGCGGCAGGGATTTGCGAAGCTGCGCGATCCCTGCCGCGCTAGCCGTTTTTGGGGCTCCGATCCGGACGGGTACGGAGCTAGGCTGCCCTGCAGGGGCAGCTGAAGGTAGGGGGGATCCGGAGAGGGGTTTGGGGGTGTTGCAGACCCCCTCCCCAGCCGGCAGAACCCCCTTTTCCCAGGACGGTGCAGCGGCGGTCCGTAATGGCCGCCACAAAGAAGCTGGCAGCCGGGTAAGAATGCGCAGGAGGAAGTGGAGAAAGTTTTTCAAAGGAGAAAGTTTTTCTTGGTTCCTAGGACTCTAAGACATATTTAACAAAATTCCTGAAAAGTATGATTTTCTGAATGATACCTTCTAGAAGAGGAAAAAAGCGGCAGTTTGATGGTGCTGAAAGGAAAGCTTACTCTCTTTTCCTACGGAATAAATAAGTGGATATTAAGAAACCTATTTATTTTAGGTGAAAACTGGTTTTAAGCGATGAGTGGGAAGAGAGAGGACTAAAAAAAAAAAATTGTATGCTAAGACTCTGTTGGAGGAGATGCCTTAAGGATTTGAAGACTAAAATATATTGCAATAAGATTTTAAGAAATAGATTTGGACTTTCTTTTTCTTTGATTGATACTACCCCAGGAGGAGAAAGTGAGAACTCTGCCTTGGTTTGGACTGATTGATAACTTTGGGACTGTTTTATTTTTTCTTTGGAATATTCTGGTTGTTGTAAGAAGAAAGAAGGGGAAAAGAAAAGATTTATAATGTCTCTTTCTATTGAGGAACTGAGAAAAGATTATGAACAAGCAAAAAAAAATGGTACATCTGGTCTGAAAGAAGCCTTCCTTTTTTTAGAAATGGCGCTTATTAACTATCAACAAACATTACAACAGATGAAGACAGCAGAAGAAGAAGAAGGAGAGGAAGCCATTTTTAATAAATTTCAGAACTCGACCAAGAAAGAAGGAAGAGTGAAAGGAAGAGAAATAAAGGACTTAAGATTTAAAAAAATACTTAAGAAAGGGAAAAATAAGGTGCAAAATCAATATAATGATAGTAAACAAAAGGGAAAAGGAACACGACAGAGAAGGGAAGCCAGTGGGGCAGAGGCTGGAAGAAGGCGGGGTAGAAAGGTTTGCTGGGAGAAGAAAGAAAGGGAAAAGGTGGAGAAAAGCTACAAAGTTTTGAAATTAAATGTGAAAAAAGGAATTTTTTTTAGGGATAAAGGATAAAATATAATTTTTTCAAAAAGATTTTGCAAGGTACATAAGATGATATTGTAGTATTGTATTAGAAATAGAAAACTTAAACGGTTTAAGAGTTGATAAGAGATTAAAATGTTGAAATGTTTAATAATGATTGGTTTTAAAATTTAATAATATGATGGGAGGTTTAGAATATTGAGTTTTAATTAAAGAGTTTAATAAGATTATGGTATTGATGTTATTATAAAATTTCTACTATAGTATTTGTTTTTAATATTTAGATTTATTGTTTAACTATATATTTAATTACTTTGGATGTACTATTTAGATAGAATGTACCAAGCAAAATCGGATTGGGTATTGGGCGTTATTTTAAAGGTTAATTTGATTAATTTAGGGGGGAGATAGAAAGGCATCATACTCTGATTAGTGATTTCAGGAGAAACTTCTTTTTTTTTTATAAGGAACGAGACAAAGGGACAATAAAGAATAGACAAAAGATACAAATATAATGACTCAAATTAAGATGATTAATTAAGATAGAATTAAGAAGAGTGAAATATGTGGAGAAGTTAATATAGAAAACTTAGAATGGTAAATAAAATAAGTAATGATATGTAAGATGAGCATGAATATAATTGAAGTCCATGAAGAGAGAGATACCTGGGTCCAAGTTACTTTCCAAAAAGATTTTTTTTAATGTTTTATGTGTTGTGTGTATATGTTTTTTTGGGGGGGGGGGAGAATTAATAAAACCTTGCAGAAATATAGAATGAGAATAATGGTAACTAAGTCAGAAAGAAATAGATGAAATAATAATAATGAAATTGAATAAGAGTAAAGAGAAGTAAAGAGAAATTGGACAAGAGGTTTTTTGTATGTTTATATGGAAATGGTTTAAAACAGAATTATAGTTTATCTGACTTGTTAAATTTATAATGGAAAAAGGTTTAAACATGTAATGGATAATGATTTGTGTGTTTTGAAAACTAATAAAACTTGTTTAAAAAAAAATAACAATAGTAACAGCAACAGTAACAGTAACAAAAATAATAATATATTTGTGATACATTTTCAAATGTTCAATGGACTGAATTCCATGTTTAATGAGTAAAAGAAATAATAATGATGATGATAATAATAAA